CTTCATTATTGTAAAACCTTTTTTTTTTATAAAATCTTTATTATGATTTTACCTGTAGCACTTTTGAGATTTTTTTTTATTTAAAGTGCATTACAAATAAAATTTATTATTATCATCTATTATGCATTCGGGTCCTCAATACCTCCACCCAACCTGACACATTTTAGTCTATGATTAGTCTATGATTAAATTATGTAAATTACCCTTATTATGTAAATTACCCTTATAATGTAAATACGCGTGGATGTTATGTTATTTTTACTTTTTTCTTATCTTATTGTGTTGTGACTGTCACTATGTGTAAAGCTGCTGCTACACTGCAATTTCCCAGCTTGGGATAAATAAAGTACATCTATCTATCTATCTATCTATCTTGAACAAAAAGTAAAAAGTATCCAAATAATTATAAGACTTTCAAAATAATTTTGATTTTAATTCTGTAACTTTTAACAATTAAGATCAAATACGAGACAAAAAGCTGGAGTCTGATTGGCTGGATGTTTTCTCTGACAGCAAACAGAGCAGATTTGCAATCACTAGTTTTTCACTCTTTCCTTATTGTCAGGTTGGTTGAAGCAGTAACTACAAAAGCTTTCAGATAAAATAGAAAATATTATATTTTGGGTTTGATGCACATTTTTTCACAGACATTTATTTCTAAATGTCTTCTGACTCCTTAATAAACATTCGGCAGTAATAACAGAACAGAACCCAGGGATGAAGCCACATGGATGAAAAACAGATGATCTGAATGAAGCAGATCTGAAACAGGCAGAGTTTCATCCTCTCTCTCTCAGGTCTGCAGCTCGGCTACGATCCAACTCTTCTAACATGCAAAACATGCATGAGGAGAGCAGCTATGAGGCAAATATTCAGTCAGAGGCTTCAACGTTCAACGCAACAACTTCTGACTAATGATGCAGTTTCAGAGTAAAAACTAAATGTTTTTTTAAACTGAGAAGCAGGTTTGAAAGATGGTGGCATGAAAACCAGAGACTACGATTCCTAAGAGAATAAAGATTAGGTTTATAGCATCCATGAGATAAAAAAAAGTCACATTTTTCATGAGGCCTGAGGGAACTTAGTCACTAATCAATATGAGCAAACCTCAGCAGCAGGGGCGGTTCTAGGACCAGAGGTTTAGGGGGGCTGAGCACCCAGAGAGCTGTCTGG